TTTGTAAAAACTTTACATTTAATTAAACGGCAATTTTGGTGGCCATCCATGAAAAAGGACATTGAAAGTTATATAGCCAGTTGTCCAAAATGTGCCACGGCAAAGAGGTTGCAAGGGAAAGTGCCAGGACTATTGCAAACAGTGGCAAGTCCCTCAGCCCCCTGGAGAGAAATAGCCATGGATTTTATAGTGGAATTGCCAGAAAGCAATGGGAATACTGTGGTCTGGACGGTCACAGACTTGTTTTCCAAACAGGTGCACTTTATCCCTTGCCAAAAGATTCCCACTGCAAAAGCCTTAGCAAAACTTTTCATCCAACACATTTACAGATTGCATGGGGCACCCCAACGCATCATCTCTGACAGGGGGGTGCAATTTACGTCTGCATTTTGGAAGGAATTTTTATCCCTCTTAGGAACCACTCAGGGACTGACATCTAGCCACCACCCTCAAGGAAATGGGGGGGCTGAAAAAATGAACTCAGTACTTAAGCAATATTTAAGATGTTTTCTTAGTTTCCAGCAGACCGAGTGGGCGGACTTACTCCCCTTTGCAGAAGTTGCCTACAATAATGCAGTCCACTCCAGCACAGGTTACACTCCTTTTCAAATAGCCACCGGTCAAAGTTTCAACCCCATGCCAGAATTAACCCCAAACGAACCAACGATCCCCTCGCTGAAAGAATGGATGGAAAAATTACAAAACACCTGGCCAATAGTCAGAAAAGCACTAGATGAAGCTAGGCAGGCTTACAAAACACAAGCCGATAAAAAAAGGGTTGAGCCTACACCATTCATTATAGGAGAGATGGTGTACTTATCTACAAAATACCTAAAGTCCCTACAGCCCTGTAAAAAACTTGGACCAAAATACATAGGACCTTTTCCAATTAAAAGAATCATAAATCCAGTAACAGTAGAATTAGAATTACCCAAAAATCTCAGGCAAATACACCCAATTTTTCATTGCAGCTTGCTGAAAAGAGAGCATCAGTCACCTCTACGGCCAAAAATCCCCCCCCCCACCTCCAATCATGGTGGAGGGTGAACAACACTTCGAAATAAAGGAAGTCCTTGACTCTAGGAGATATCATGGAGCAACTCAGTACCTAGTTGCCTGGAAACACCTCCCTCCCTCACAAAATGAGTGGGTCCATAAACGTCATGTCAGAGCCCCGAAGCTATTGAAGAAGTTTCACACAGAGTATCCTAACAAGCCTGACTAAATTTTATACTTGTGTTTTCTTTCAGGTGGATCTCTCTTATTGTTAAGAGGGGCCGGATGTCAGAATCCAATTATATTTCATCTTTAAATTATCAAATATAGAAACTCCCAATTCTGCCTTCTCTGGATTCTGCCATAAGAGGGAGAGAAGGGGGAGAACAAAGGGGCTTTATGGCCCTCACTTCCTTCAGTACACTTCAAAGAGCTGAATGCTGAATGTGTGTTTATTGTAACCTCGAAGTGTTAGCATACCAAAGGAGAGTAATTGCCTTTCATGTAGTTATCTGAAGTCTCCATCCAGACGGAAGAAAGAAGAAAGGGAGTGGAATTGTGATACTTGAAACTATCACTGGAAGGGGGGTTGATTGGGTGGGACTACTGGGGAACCCCTTAAAACCTTGAATGGGAGAGCTTGGACCCCAAGTCCTGTCTAGCATGCCTGCAACCATTTTCTCTTAATAAAGGATTCCTGTTGGAAGAATTATTCCAAGAGTTCTGTCTTCTTAAGATGCAAAGTGGGGTGGGTCCTTACAGTATCTTTCACTTATTAATGTTTTTGCTTATTAGATGCAAGCTCTACATTATATATGCATTTATCCCTCAAGATGCAAACTCTCATAAATTATGTCATAAATGAAGAACAGCACAGAGGCAATAAAGTTTGCTTCTAGATGCTTACGTTGTCTCTTTATTTTTATTGTCCCTATTTTTTAAATGTAAGCAGCTCAGAGTCACATAAAGTTGGATGACCTCTAAATTGTACTAAATAAATAAATAAGAACAGAACTACAAGGAAACACAAAGGAAACAGGTATTGTCTTTCAGGCTCTGACAAGTTATTTAGCAATTTTATAAACATCCTTATAAACATAGCTTTAAAGCTTATTCAGGATAAAACATGGATGAAAACAGAAGATGAATAGCCAATGAACATATAAATATTCATAGCTCTACTCAAATGTTTTCTAGTATTTATTTATTTATATATTTATTTATTTATGAGACTTATATACCGCTTTAAGTGCAAGCACTCTCTAAGCGGTGTACACCAGTAAGCAATGTATATATATATTTACATTGCCCCCAACAATCTGGGTCCTCATTTTACCTACCTCAGAATGATGGAAGGCTGAGTCAACCTTGAGCCGGTGAGATTTGAACCGCTGACCTGCTGAATACAGTCAGCTAAAGACTAGGTTATTGCAAATGCACATGCAAAAGTGACTTTAATTTGTGTAACATGAGATTTTGTATATCTTCCCCCAAGGACAACATTAATAGAAAAGGACTATCCTTCATAAACAAATTAATTTCAGTTACCTTACATATCGTATAATATATCTCCATCTAAATGAGATAAAAAAATCCATGCACTTGGAAACTATCCAAATAAGACAGTATTATTATAAAACTACATAAAATCACAAACAAGCAGAAAAATTTACACTATAAAAATATGAACCCAAAAGCCTACAATTAAAATACATAAAGGATACATGGCATCAGCCATTAAAATCCAACAGCAAATTAAGTACCGCAACAAAAGATTTCTTATTTTATAAAATTACACTGGTAATATGTTTTAAATGGAAATTATTAGCAAAGAAGCAAATAAAGTGATGAAACTAGAATTTTCTTAATTGTTGGATCACTTGTAGCTAATCAACTATGATGTAGTTTGACACAATTACTTCAAAGAGTTTCCCCCTGATTTTATAACTACTTTTACACAGCTAATGTTTGTTATTACTATTATGAGCCCAAATTAATCCACTTTAGAATGAAGATTTCTTCACTAAAGCTTATGGATCATAACCTATTATGCTGCTCCAGTGAGGTTAATAGATAGACACTTTTCAACTTTCCAGTCTAGGGCTGAGAGAAAATGACTAGGTCAAAGTCACCTAGCCAGGTTTCCTACATAACACTTGGGTCTCTAGTGTCACTTCATTTTATAATTTGTTCTGTAGTTAAACAGGTTAGCTACTTGCTTGTTAACAAATCTGCCACTTATGAGCTTTGATACTCGGCCTTTATCAGTTGCCTTGTGCTAGTTCACACTTTTCAGATTGATCGTAACACTAAAGGAAGTTTCCAGCAAAGAAGACAATCAGGAGAGGTTATGGGTACAGTCACATAGCATTTCCATTTCACATATCATATGTCACTTGAGGAAAGATTCCCCAGGAGAGACTGATACAAAGAGCTATAGAGTAGCGACACACAACAAGCCGAAAGCGAGTTTATATATGAAACTGTCTTGGCGTTTGACCAAGTTGGCAGGGTTGTTACTTAGATACTAAAATCATGCTTTTTGTTTCCTGACAAGTAACAGCTCCTGCCTAGGCATATTTGAGCAGGGAGGGGGGAAGAGAGAAAGAAAATGTATTATTAGGTAGAAAATGAATAATGAAATAGTTATACCTATATTTAAAATTACATTGTAGCTATTCTAAAATTTAATGCAGATAGCAAACCTATTTTAAATCCCCATGATAAGTTACTGTATTTTTTTGTTTTTATAGCAATTTCATAGTTACTTCAATTAAGAAATTAAGGTACTGTGATCCTCCTGGGTTTTACTGAACTCTGACATTGGCCAACTTGGCCCAGAAAAACTGACAATTTTAGTAAAGAAGATTTTTTTAAAAAACACTCAACTATCAGTTACTGCATATTTGCTTATAAGCAAGCCCCATTGATCTTATTCTCAAGAACAAATATATTAGTTTTCAGCCTCCTTTGACTCTTCCCTCAATGTCTAGTAGAACAAAATTTCAAAATAGCATCTTATTTTCCTAAATACAGGTAGTCCTCGACTTAGGACCACAATTGAGCCCAACATTTCCGTTGCTAAGTGAAACACTGGTTAAGTGACTTTTGCCCCATTTTACAACATTTCTTGCCCCAGTTGTTAAGTGAATCACTGCAGTTAGATTCTTTGAAAACACACTCTGTGTCAGATGCCGTTGCTGTCCCTACATTTTTTAACACTAGTGCTGATTATAGCAAAAATGAATTGTTTTGCTTATATATAAACAAGGTCACGAAATGCTACTTTAGATTTGGCCCCAACATGAAAAGTGAGTATGTTCAATTCTTCATTGTTTATGTATTTTTATTAAGTAAAAAAATGAAATCAGAGCATAAAAGAATAAATAGAAAATGAAAGGTCTCATTAAAAGAAAACAAGCAATGCAACTTGCTAAATCAACAACAACAAACTCAAAATTGTTGCTGTGCCTTGGAACAATTATGACTAGCTCAGACTACAAATAATTAGCTCAAAACAGTGAAAACTGTTTCTCTAAAAAAAATATGTTTTCACCAGCTACTGAATACAGCAAGCACAGAGAGAGCCAATGGACCTTCCTTAGGACGTTATTCCACAACCTTGATGCCAGGATAGAAAAGACCTCTGCAGACATCCCTCTGGTCATATAGACAGAGAAAAAGAAGGGCAGACTCCATGTTAAAAGATACCGGTAGTAACTTTTAAAATATCTAACCTTGCCACATTATGAGTTTAACATTCTTCAAATCAACACAATAAATTGAGCCAGAAGCAAATTGGCAGCTAAATGAAAAATAACATGACATCAGAGTGACATGTTCCAACCTGCATGCTCCAATCAGCAGCCAGGCAGCTGCCTTTTGAACCAAATTATGCATTAAACACAACTAGACAAGAAACAATAGTGGCCAGGTGCCCATCTACATTTGCTTCAGCCATGTCTGGAGCCATAAAGAAGTGCACGTCACAATAAAATCATTACCTTTTTGAAAAGTCGTCCAGAGTCTTCACTGACTTGAACAAACCGAGGGATTATATTGTTCAGATAGATGTCACTCAAAGTAGTGTGGTCCCTGCTCTCTCTCTTCACCTGATTTAAGAGGAGGTTCCAGCAATTGACCGGAGAAAGAACATTTTGATCCTTCCTACAGGAGAAACAAAACCATAATATGACTTTTCACCCAGTGTATTATTTTACACAGTGAAGTTTTCAAATACAAACATTGATGCAGTTATCAGGGAAGTGAGGGAAAATGTTGGTAAACCATCATCCTATAATCAAGACATGAATAGACAATCTACAAGAACTGTAAAAAAAACACCAACAAACCTGTAGTCCCTTTGATATTCATTATTTTTACCCAAAAGATATCCAACTATTAGCTACTTGCTAGCTTATATGAAGTCATAACAAAAAAAAAAAAAACTGCTAGCCACCAAGCTTTCAAAAATAAAAGAATAAAACAGTAATGTAAGAAAGAATATGATTAAATGTGGCACGTCCTATAGGATAATGACCTTTACACAGAAGTATCATCAGAGTTTTGTTTGGGTTTGTCATACGGATAATCAAAAGGTTTATCACTTAGTGAAGAAACATTGAATGACACGCAAGGAGGAAGTTAAAGGCTGCAAGCTGATGACCTTGTGAACTGTAGTTTTCCAGAAAGTGAACGCTCAGGGAACAGAAAGTAGCATTGTACTCTTCTCAGAACATAGCCATGCCCCATTCCCATCATAGTAACCATGAAAATTATCTCATGACAGGATATTACACAAATATTCACTCCATCATCATTTATCTCAACAACAAAGAAAAAATATTGACAAGAAACTTTTAAAGAGAGGCCAGTTTCCAGCATAACCATCTCTGACCAGCATAAACAACTGTCCTGTGAGCTTTTAGGGTATAAATGGATTATTATTACTATTATTTGGCCATGAGGATAAAGCAGGGGTCCCCAATCTTTCTGGGTTGGCGGCCCGCTGGGAAAGAGAGGGGCAGGCACCTTTATGCTAATGTGGATGCATGCATGTGTGCGCGAATCAGGCTGCAAGCACACGTGCTCCACAAATAGGGCTGCTAGTGCCGGAACGCGGTTTACCAGCACGAGGTGCGCAACTCGGCTAGCACTGACACAAATCTCACAGCTCAACTAGCGCCAGCGTGAGTCTCGTGGCTCAGCTAATATCAGTGCGAGACTTGTGGTTCGCAGCTTGGCTAGCGCGTAGCTAGTGCTGGCATGAGGCTCAGCTGGCACCAATGCAAGGCTCATAGCTTGCCGCTCCACTAGCGCCGGTGCAAGGGGTGAGCATGCGTGCGCACTTGCCAGCCACTCATGTGGCCCATATGTTGGAGACCTCTGGGGTAAAGTATTTATATGGCACATTTTTCAGATGTAATACTATCTAAAATAGCCTCACTCAACCTGATGTCCACTTGAGGTGATGGACTTTAATTCTGATAATTCCAGGCTTACATAATCTTTAGCTAACAGTTGTAAGAGATAGAAAAGGTGTAAGGAAAGTTCAGCAAAAATAAATGAATAAATAAATCTAAAGTTTTTAAATGTCTTTAATTTAATTGTCTTTAAATGTCTTGTATATGCCCCAAAATATTTAATTTGAAGTTAATCAATTTAAGTCCAATGTTTGTCCTTCAAAGATCAAGAAAGATCTTTACTATCCTCCATGACTGCATAATACTGCTATAAAGAGTAGTAAAAGTTTTCAAGTCTTCAGAATATCCTCCTGAAATCTCAATCTCTGTCTCTCTCTCACACACACACTCACTCACTCACTCACTTTCTGAAACACCAGTTATTCTACTTTCATGACTAACATTCAATTCCTTACTTAGTTATATTTTATATCACATTTCAGTTCACACATTTTTCCACTACAGTGCAAATTGAATCCCACCCTCCTAAACAAGTAAAGCACATTCACACATACATATCCACCAGGCTCCTCCTTCAAGGTAAGCAATGCAATCCCAATAAATAAATGCCACTGTGAAGTGAATAAATAAAAGACAGTGCTCCTAGAAATATCAGAAATATAAATGAAATTTGATTTCCACAGTTATTTCCAAAGCAAAACAACACAAAGCAAGACTGGATCTGCAGTAAGATGCAGGTTAATTTTATTTAAACAAAACAGCAAAATACAAGAATCCTATTTTCAAAGCAGCTGATTTGGCAGAGTTTATTGATGAAAAATTGCAATCCGGGTTGCTTCAGGAATTCATATATAAAGGAAGTGAGACAGTTTGATTGATTCAAAGCAACCATTAGTTCTAATTGCCAAAAAGAAGTAGTGCGTTCAAGGAGAAATACTTTTATTCTGTGGTTTTGTGTTTGTATGCTGCTATTGCACAGAAAAGTTTGAGACAAAGATCAAAAGGCAGCACCACGGAATGTAACAATGAACTGGCCGCGGAACAAACACTCTCTTTCTTGCATACAAGTATAAAAATAGCAAAAGGTCTGCGGAGCTGTATTTATGCCCTTCCATAAAATACAGCATATGGTAACCTTAACCTGTGGCTCCCTAGATGTGTAATACCATAGTTCATCTCAAGTCAGTGCAATCAGGAGAAGGAATGATGGGGGATGTAGTCCCATTGCATTTGCCGAGTTTCAGTTTTGATTAGTTGATCCTACAGGTTTTGCAATTCTTAATACAACATGCTACAAAATTTCAAATGACATTGCACTGGTACAAAATGATACAATATTGCTTCTTGGGGCAAGTGATTGATTGGTTCCTCTGCAGCAAAAGGCAGGATCTATTTTAGTTGCTGTAATAGCACAGGCTTAGGCAGCCTAGGGCAATACAATAGTCAAATACTATGGGGCAACGTGGGGGCCTTACAAATTGCCTACAGGCTATGGATTTCAAACACTAGCTTTTCTGTTACAAAGACTAGGTGCAGCCTTTTGTTTATGAATAGCAGGCAATATCTGCTTGTTTGTTTGTGACCAAGTAATTCTTTTCAGCAATCCAAATATAATCAAATTGGCCACACAGGGGAAAAAAATTCTAACAACACCAAAAAGTCAAAAACTCTGAATGGAAAAATAGAATGAAGTGCATTCTATTATAGAATTGTAGGATTACAGAACTGTATACCCCTGAACATTAAAAAGAATGCATGTTCTGCTCTTTGCCTCCTCTTCCTCCTCCTTCTGAAAGGGCAAGAATTAGACAAGTATGTACATTTTTCTAGTTATTCAACCAAAGTGATAAATTGAATAAGGTAATGATTTTAGCTCCAGGGGACTGAGATTGTGGATGGCTTATTTGTACTTTTGGACTATTATTGCATACATTTCTTATTAGAATTACTTAACATTTAGCATTCTCCAATCCCCCCAAACAAGTCTTTCTGTGCTAACTCATTGTGGCAGGAGTTACAGTAACTCATATAGGGTAGCAGTGATATAGGAAGATGCTGGAGGCAGATTCTCACTTCAGTGCATTGGCATCAATTCATACCATGTAGGAAAAAGCAGTAGTAAATCACTCCTATGTATTTCAACCAAGAAAATCACCTAGACAGACAATATGAAATAGTTGATGATATAGTATTGGACGATGGCTCCTCAGATCGGATGGCCCTCAACATTCCAGGATTACAGTCTTCAAGATATTTAGTTGCCGATATTGCCATACAGAAAAAGAAAATCCAAAACTGCAAAAACAGAATTTACAGTGGGAACCAGGAACATGAAAACTAGACACCATGGAAGATGAAGTGAAATGAGTACAGATTAACTTCCTAGGCAGTAGCAAAACAAGATGGACTGAAATTGGACAATTTCAGTCAGAAGATTGTACTGTTACTACTCAGGACATAAAAACCAAAAAGGAATGGCACTGTTTTTATACCTGGGAAAAGTATAGCAAGAACAGTATTTGGCTACAATGAAATCAATGACCAAATAATATCAATTAGACTTCATGAACCTGACCCTTTAATATGATGATCGTCCATGTTTATGCTCCAACCACTGATGCAGAAGAAGACTGAGCTGATGAGTTTTATGCTCAAGCTGAATTTGAAATAACAAAGCATTCAAGCAAAGATGTGCTGCTTATGACTGGAGACTGGAATGTCAAAGTTGAATACATTAAGGATGAAACTGAGATTGAATTGGATAGAACTAAAACAAAGCAGGAGACCAAGTTAGTAAGTTTTGCCCTCCAATTACTTCTTCATAGGTTACACTGTCTTCAAGCAAGTAAAACAACACCTGTATAGACAGACATCACTAGATGGCGTAAACAGAAATCAAATTGATTATATTATTATTAAAAGGAGGTGGAAGACCTCAACTGTAGCATCAAAGTCTAGGTATAGAACACAAGCTGTTCATGTGCAAGTTCCAAGTCAAGATAAAGATGAAAGCCATCAGTTTCCACAATATGATCTTGAACATATATCCACCATTTTCAAGGGGAATATCAAGAATCACTTTGAAGTCCTGAATCTCATCAGTAAAGAACCAGAGGAGCAGGGAATGAACAAGTTATTAAGATGAATGTGACATACAGGTCAGGAAGTCACAGTGTGAACAGAATGGGGCAAAACAGGTTGACTGCAGGTTGGCAAAGGAATCTTTATAGACTGTATAACCTCCACTTATGTACTCAAACCTACAATAAATGTTGAACATATATTAAGGGAAACTGAATGTGGCTTTAAAACCGGACAAAGAAACATTGATAACTTGCAGTATAACGATGACATTACTCTAACAGCTGAAAATGAAAGGATCTGAAAACTCTAGTAATAAAGGTCAAGGAGCAAGGTTAAAAAAGAGGGATACATTTAAAGATAAAGAAGACCACACTGATAACAACAGATTTAACAGCCATGCTTTACAATTGAAAATATTACAGAGGTAGATGGCTTCTGCCTTTTAGGATCAACAGTATAGATCAGAAGTCCCCAAACTTTCTAGCTTGGCAGCCTGGTGTGTGGGGGGGAGAAGGGATGGTGCGAGGGGCAGGACCATGCACAAGTGGAGCTGTGCTCATCCGCCACTTGCCCAGCCCAGTTCCGAATGAGCCACAGCCCAGTACTGGGCCACGGCCCAGGGTTGGGGATAGATGACAGTATAGATGACAGTACTATAGT